CAAATGCATAAAATTTTCACACATCTATTAAAAAAATTATCTACATTAACATTATATGTTGAAATAGATTTTATCTATTAAAATGTAAAATAATTTAACGAAAACAAAATTAAATATGCGTATTATAAACTTATTGACCTGATGAGATTGATATTAAAAAAAATTCAGCTACCGCGTTCGATGAATTTTTTAGATCTTAAGATTAAAGCAGATGAAAGATGAGAGTGTTTTTATCTGTGTTGGAGTAAATAGTTATGAGAAGTTTGTTGATTTTGATATTTTAAGTGGGAAGCGTTTAGTTTTTATTTGTTAACTAAATGGTAGTAATGTCTTTTAAACAAAATCATTTTTTGTAATTGTATAATATACTTAAAGGTATTTTTATCTTTTATTACTCAATAGATCATTGTAATAATATTAACAATTGAACAAGTCAAAGTGGAATTTTCTTTATTTGACTATTTCATTTTTAAAAGAACCCCATGTTTTGTGGCACTATCTCAGCTATATATACAGGCACCTATACTCATGGAGGGAAAATGATTGATCCAGTGACAGTCTCATTAGGATTCTTTTAGAATCGAATAAACACACAAAAGCTTTGTATTTACCATGTAAGAGATTATTCCGACACCAAAACCTTCCGACAATCTTCCCACAAAAATGAAATATCCTAATTTAAAAGAAAAAAAAAACATTAGAATTAAACGAGTTCTTGAAGCACCAATAAAAAAAGAGATGCTAAAAAACATGGAGGAAAAGCTCACTCTGGCAAATGATATTGTAAGCCAAACGATGATATTAGGTATGTCAGCAATCATTAAAGACTATACATTAACAAAATAGATAAAAATTACTTGCGCAAAATTATAGAACACAACAAAGCTAAAATGCAGGTAAGTAACTACGATTATTGAAGCACTCGTACCCTATTTCGTCCAGTGCATTCAGAAATCTGACCACTTGCTATTGCCCCGACCATAGCCCCAACATTTGATAATGAACCGAACAAAGAAAACTGGCCAAATTGCTTCTTTTTTTCTTTTTTGCTTTTTATGATCGTGGTTGTCTTGGCCAACTTACGCACAACTTAACTAATTCCACGTGACCCTGAAATTTATAGTCGAGTACTCACTTCAGTGGGGGACTCGAACGTGTGATCATTGGGAAACAAACCTAAAGTCTGACCACTGAACTACTCATTACTATGTTGATGAAATAAACAGCAAGAGAGATTCATTATCATGAATACGTGGGATATTGTAAGCTTTGGATCTTTAGGGATTGCAGCTTGTGTTGGTGAAGAATAACCAATCTTCACAAGTACAAGAAAAACATTAGATAAACTCATAATCTGTAAACCTACACATATGTAAGAGGAAAGAAAAATGAAGATATATCCTAAACACACTATGTCACATTTCAAAGCATCAAATTGGGGCCTCAAGTTCGAATTTAAAAATAGTCCTATCCAAAATTATCTTTTTAAAAAGTTATTTCTGGGACTCCAATTCAGTGCCATCATAATTATCTGCCATGAAACTGTCACAAGCATAAAATGGTCATTTGAAGTTCAGAATTACCCCAAAGTGAATTTTGAGATTCAGATTTTTAGTTCAATTTCACTTCAACACAATCTTTTCACAACCCGGCATAACAAGGATTCTAATTTTCAGTCAGATTCAAATTCAAGTCAATTTCTTGGCAACTTAAAAACAGAAAATATCAAAGAATGTAAGAAAAATAATAGAGAACAACATGATGCCAACTCAAGATTCTAATCAGATTTCAGAAAGGGCAACTCAAGATTCAGCTTATCCAAAATCAAGTTCAGGAATGGCAAAATTTCTCATTACCAATTACAATCCAAGCCTTCGAAGTTGAACATACTCCTACATATGGTTTCTTGAAAGCCCTGGTCGACCACAACCTATTTATAAACTCACAAGACAAGACTTCTGCGAGCCAAGTGGGATCAAAAGTAATAGTAACAAAAGATCACAACTTTAGTTCTAACTGTCCCAAAATGATGTAATCTTAGTTTTAACTCTCTACACGCTTTCAAAAAAAGTGCTGATTTTGCTACTTTAGGTGCAATCAAACACACTATAAAAAGATGATTACCAAATTTATGCATATTCAATTAAATTTAAGTTGAATATTACTGCTGCATGTGGTTTCTAAAAAGTACCAATCAACCACGATGCACCTATAAACCCAAAAAAAAAAAAAAAAAAAAGAATTCCACAAGCCAAATGGGTTCGGAAGTAATAGTAACATAAAGGATATAACTGGAGTTCTAATAGCCACAAAATGATATGATTTTAGTTCTATCTGCTTTCACATACTTCCAAACAAGAGTAGATTTAAGCTACTCGTAAGTGCAACCAAATATACTATTATATTCATAAATTACATGACATGCGCGTGACAGATGAAGTACCACATGCTGACTCTGTATCGATCATTCAATTGGATGACGTACCAATTGGCCCATTTCCATTTATAGATTTGTGCGTGTGAGATTTCATTTCATAGCAAAGGTACGTCATTCTAATCCTTTCTCCCTCTCTTGTACTGATATTATATCTCGTCCAGCAATTGACTTGATCGTTGGATTGCAAACAGTCATCTGACCTTTTCCTTGACCAGCGAATTTTGCCTCCTAAATGTGTGTTCTAATACGTAGGGAATGTTTACGTGAAGAGGATGTGGTTAGGATTCTGTTAGTGCAAAAATTGAGGTCAACATATACTATAGAAAGATGAGCAATCAGAAAAAGATCATCACAGAACAATGAAAAAACATAGAAATTCAAAGTCAGGATAGTAGTAGATTACAGTTAAACCAAACTGTATAGAACCCAAAGCCACGATCAGAACACAAGCCAGTACTGAAATAGAGTTGTCCCTTATCGCTTGAGCAGAACCCATCAAACTAGGCTGCCTTGAACCCATCCTATACCAACTTCCAGTTTGCAAAAATGGCTTCTTCAGATCCCCCATCACATCTTCAATCTCCTCTCTGAAACTCATTTTTGCCCTTTTTTACCCACCAAAATTCTGTCCTCAATAATCTGTGCCACTCTATGGACCAAATTCACTTTTATTGGGGTGGCAATATGAGCTATTAATTATTGTCTTTCAGAAAAAAAAAAAAAACTTCAAACTAACCAATTCAGCATTCTCACCTCATCGTTTATAAAAATCCATGTACATATCATTTGTAAATGGAGTTTGATTCTAATTTTTAAGCACATGGGACTCATATCTTTCTTTGTTTGAAGAAAATTTTGAATATACTTTGTTTTCTAAGTTTATGTTGAAGTTAGATATTTTGTATTCAAAATTATGAGTTTTACATGGTTAATTTTCAAGGATTGAGATAATTTACTCAATTCTAAAAAGTTCAAGCTGCAGAAAATTTCACCAATATATGGAAACAATAATAGCGTATAAAAATTTGGATTACTCTTTTAACAAGTTTAATCTTCAAAAAAAAAATAAATAAATAAAAAATAAAAATAAAAAAATAAAAAAAAAATAAAAATATATATATATATATATATATATATAATAGTCAAAAAAATCTAAATGGCCAATTTGATTTGTCTAGAAGCTCTAATAGACGACAATCTATCATCTAAATGACGTAAGTTATGGCTTAATCAGAATAATACATCAAACTAGATTGCCTTGAACTCGTCCTATACCAACTACATGTAGAAATGGCTTCGCATTTACCCTCCCCCCTCAAACCCTTTTGATTCGAAAGTGGAGGTTGTAGTTGATGTGGTAATTTGTGGATAAATTATAAACAAATTTTGAAGAATTACAAGGGTTAGGATTTTGGTAAAATGAGCGAGAAAGAAAAATATATATATATAAATATAATAAAATCATTTGCCCAATAGTTTGGGGGTCACGTGACCCCATGCCACCTCATCGTCCGCCCCTGCTTCTAATTGGAGAGTGGGGATTTGTAGTAAATTGTGGAAAAATTATAGGCAAATTTTGAAGAATTAAAGGGGTTAGGGTTTTGGTAAAATATAATAAAATTACTTGTCCAAAAGTTGGGGGTCACGTGACACCATGGCACCTCCTTTCCGCCCCTGCTTCTAATTGCCAGGTGCGAGGAGATAACTAGAGGTTAATCCTATTACTTGATCAAATCCTCACCTCTTTATTACTTCTTTCTTTTATCATCTAGTTGCTGAAACTACTCATTGTTCGGTTTGTCTGTTTTCTTTCAACACTCTATAAAGTTGAAAGATACCTTCACAATTACAAAAGGAGACGAAAATAAAAAAAAAATGAACTTGAAGGGACTATTTCCAGAAAATCATACGTTTTAACTTGCATAAAACATCATGCACCATTGTTCTATAGGTCCTTTAATTCTTCAAGCGAGATTTTTTTTTTTTTTTTCAATTGTTAAATTTATCTTGTTTAAAACCATTATAATCAATTTCCACATGCCAAAAAATGAGTTATCAATATGAAAGCGTGTTTTAGGAAATGAATCCAATAGCTTATTGCGTTTAAAGTTTAACGACGTCAAGTGATTTCAACTCAAGAAAAAATGTAATGATCTTATTTGAAACCAAACGTTGATTCACATATTTCGTGGACTCATAAGTACTACCCACTTATTCATTATTCATTTTTACCTTGTTTATAAACACTCGCTAAGGATATGCTTAAAAAAATTTCTGGGCATCTAAATTAGTGCTTTATACCAGGATTAGCTGTGTCTCTTTTCATGGAACATAACAAAAAACACATTACACATGTATACATTGGTCATATCAACTTTAAAAATTCATCAAAGTGGGATATTCGTGGAATATTTGCCAATGATCTTTCAGCAATTTGTATTATGTGCCAATGACAGTAACAAAATCCTTAGCCATTGTCAAAAAAATTGTTCATCTTGCCTACTATATAATTACAGATCATGCGTGATTGTTTATTACTCCAGAATCAACAAAGAAAAGAATCATGAAGTATGAAAATTATGATCTTTCTTTCCCCGAGCAGCCGGTGGTCGATTTATACCTCCCGGTGTGGGCTAAACTTCCTGCCTTTAGGCACAAACCGGCTTTCATTTGGGTCGAAGACAGCCCTGATGGAGTGTCCAGCTGCTCGACCCTAACTTACGAGCAGCTGAATAACTCCGTGCAGTCAATTTCCGAGCAACTTCATCTACAAAGAGGTGACACTGTCGTTATTTTATGTGCACCCGGGCTCGAGCTTGTAGAAATGATCTTTGCTTGTCAAAGAGCAGGCCTTTTGGCTGTTCCTATAATCCCCCCACACCCTTCTTTTGCCAATGAAAATCACCACCACCTTATAAGGGTTTTATCCCAAACAAGGCCTAAAGCAGCCTTGGCCCTCCGAGAATATATTGATCGTGTTCGACTGTATTTATCTTCCTCGACCAATAAGAGATTTTCAGAGCTTTTACAGAAGCTTCAATGGATTCCCATTGAGGAAATAAAGGCCGGGAAGTTGAATGTTCAACGGAATTTATCATCATATAATGGCTGTAAACCTGATGATTTGTACTTAATTCAGTACACTTCTGGTGCAACTGCGATTCCTAAGCCAGTACTTGTGACAGCAGGAGCAGCTGCCCACAATGTTAGAACAGCTAGAAAAGCCTACGATCTTCATCCAAATAGTGTAATCGTGTCTTGGCTGCCTCAATATCATGATTGTGGGCTTATGTTTCTGTTGCTCACTGTAATATCCGGTGCTACATGCGTGTTAACATCGCCTAATGCGTTCATAAACCGGCCTAGATTATGGCTCGAATTGATCACACAGTACAAGGCAACTTGTACACCAGTTCCGTCTTTCACTTTGCCACTCGTCGTTAAGCGAGGGGGCGTCAAAACCGGGACCATTCCTATAAGTCTTGGGAGCATGAAGAATCTGATTATCATCAATGAGCCAATATACAAAGCTGCAATTGAAGATTTTATCGAAGTTTTCAAGCCTTTCGGGTTTAATCCCGCATGCATCTCTCCATCTTATGGCTTAGCCGAAAACTGTACTTTCGTGTCAACAGCATGGAGAAGTGGAAATCATGGCAATTTCCCAGTTTACAAGAAGCTATTACCCAGTGCAAAACTACAAGCTCCTTCAAGCAATGACGAAGAAGAAGACATCGAAATTTTAGTAGTAAATGAAGGAGCGCACGAGCCTGTTGATGATGGGATTGAAGGAGAAGTATGGATTTCATCGCCAAGCAATGCCAATGGATACCTTGGCCACCCTTCATTGACACAAGAAGTATTCAACGGCAGAATAAAAAACAAACGCACTGGGAAATTTCTTCGAACAGGTGATAGAGGAATTGTCATAGGCCAAGATCGATACTTATATATTACAGGCCGATGTTCCGACATTATTAAACTTTCAAACGGTCTTGAAATCCATCCTCATTACATCGAAACCACAGCTTACAATTCATGTCCAAAGCTTCTCCGAGCTGGCTGTCTCGCAGCATTCCAGGTTTCAAGAACAATCGCCATTGTTGCAGAGTTGCAGAAAACTCAATCCGATCCAGAAATTTCCCGGAAAATTTGTGAAGGAATAAGAAAATCTGTGATCAAGGAAGAGCAAATTGAAGTCGGATTGGTGGTTCTTGTTAAATCTGGGAATCTGCCCAAAACTACTTCAGGGAAGATACAAAGATGGGCTGCTAAGTATAAACTAAAAGAAGGTGGAGTGAACGTAATTATGCAGATGAAATTTGACAACAATGCACAAAATGTAACGTCGTTTGATGCAATAATTCGTGGAAATGAAGAAGAAGAGAAAGGGACGAAGATTTCAATGGGTGAAGAGGCCGATCAGGGATTTATTCATGCATCTGTAAATGCTTCTAATCACCTATCTTTGCGTTCTTCTTTGTAGGAATTGAAAGGTTTCATCTTTGTCTGATAAAAATAATGCTATCTACATAGTTTCGGATGACTGATATCCGTTCAATTAAATTAGTAACGTGATTTTTAATGAATATATCCTTTAGTATTACCATCTAAATGGGGCCGTGATGATAAATAGTATTATTTTGATAAAATAGTATTCTTAGTGAAAAAAATTGCAGCATAGATTTCGAACCTTTTAAAATAATATCGATAAAGCCTAAATCTTTAAATTGCAACAAATTATCGAACCTTTCAAAACTGTGAGGCATAAGTTTTCGTCTAAAAATAGATGAGTTGATCAAAAGTCAAGCATTTAATCTTAATTTGACCAATTTTAAGATATTTCTTTATATTCTCTTGCACCCCATCCCGAGATGCCAACGAGTCGGACCGTGCCAGCTAACGAATCAAAACTCGAGCAAGGCTTGGCTCGTGCAAAAACTCGTCGGACTTCTTTTGCTCGGTCAAAAAATCTAGGCTCGACATGAGCTTTCAGTTCGAGTTTTATTGAGCCGGCTAGATTTTATTTTTTATTTTTATTTTAAATTTTAAATTTGCCTTAACACGTTAGCTGCCTTATGTAATTTATTTACTTGTTTATTTATTTTTAAATTATTGGCTCCTTATGAGCCGATCGAACTAAACGGGCTAGCTAGGGCTTGAGCCGAAGCCCCTAAATGGGACTCAACTTGAGCCATGAGTTGAGCCGGCTTGGGCGGAACCACTAACCGCCCGAGCTGGGGAACCAAATTTACATTCTCCACTCCGCCCGAGGTGGTGAACCAAATTTACATTCCCCACATCCTCGTGCATTTATCCTACCTGACCATCTATACCCCCTTCAATCTCCACCAACTCCAATCTTACCGTGGCCACCACCCACGCCGCCGTCCACCTATCTTCTTTACTTTGTTCTTGAGTCATCATTTTCTTCTTTACCACTAATGTCCATACCCTCTCCATTCGCCATATTTTACAAAGAAACCTCATTTCTTGTTCAAGAACCAATTTCAGCGATCCCACAAATTCTAAGTCCGACTCATAATCCAGAACAAAAATTTTCATTAATTGAAATCTGGGAAGTAGTATACTCTTTTTTCAGTCGCTCAAGTTTGGTCACATTGAATTTTCTTACCTTATTTTTTTTTTTTTAATTAATTGTGCTTTTATTCCTTTGTTTGGTATTTTTGTCTCATTGAGTATTGTCAAACTAAATTATTAACAAGGCACTTATTGTGCACATAGTTATCGGAAGTGTTGTAAATTTATGAAATAGTTATTAATGACTATTTAGCCCCATTTCAGAACCACTATTTGCAAAAAATAATGTTTTGAATAGTTACTTTTAGGAGAATTTGGGGTTAAAAAGTTCAAAAAAGTTTTAAATTTACGTGTAGAACGCTTTATTGTGTGAATATGTTGTTGAAAATGAGTATTGAGAAAAAAAGTTTTCAAATAATGATTGTCAAACATGACCTAGTATTATCAAGATAATTATGTCTTTCTCACTCTAGAATAGCATATTTTATTGAAATCGTAGCTCTCATTAAAAAAGTCTTACTACGATACTTACGTAAGTCTTAGACACAATTGTAGAGTGTATTCTATTCTAGGATTATAACTCCATTGAAATCCCAAATATAGGGATTATTGTTATAATAAAATAGATAAATAATTTTTAACTCCAATATTTCTTCTAATCTTGTTCTAAATATTATTCTTATTTTATATAAAAAAAAAATATACTACTAAAATTCATTTATAGAATATAAAACGTTACTTATAAATGAAAAATTCATTTATGCGTATAATTACTTGTAAGTACAAAATTTTCTTATACTTGTAAATTTTACTTATAAGTTAAAAAAAATTGTAATTTAAAATTTTAATTACAATTAAATATTTCATGCAAAAAAAATTATAAATTGAAAATCTCCCTATGTAAACATTTGAATTTCATCTCTTAGGAAGTATATAGAATAAAGAATTTTGATGTACCTACTTATGAAAATTAGCTTTACAACTATATTTAGTTTTTTCCATCTTATAATCCAATAGAAAATGATTTGCTTGCAAGAACTTATTCAAAACAATAATAATTAATCCAAATATTCATCCATAAACAATAGAAAATGATAAGGTAAACTATTTAAAGTCATATTAAATTGTAAGGGATGATGTACACAAATGATAAGGTAAACTATATATATATATATATATATATATATATACATAGACACGTAGTTTTATCCTTTTAAAAAACTTTTAGAACAGCTTGATAGTAAACTCTCAAGCATGCATTGGACTATTTTAAAAATTGCTACTAGAAATCACACGAAAGTCGGCCCTCATAAACGTCCAAAATCGGTACTTTAAAAAAACCTTATTACAGACAAACAAAACTCCCAAGCACACTAAGAATATGGTATGAAAATATTTAGATAACAAGACAGAATTTCATTTTGTCTTGCACTAGTACTAGAAGAAAAATTAGAAATGATTTAGTCTCTATGGTAGTTGTACTTAATTGGTTCATCGTTAAGAATGATGAAACTGTAGAAGATGGAGATGGTGAATCATTAATTCTATTAGATTTGACAGCATATTGAGAATATACATTACTATGTATAAAATTATGATATATTAAGTCCCTATTTTGGCGTAGCTAAAAATCAATTTTTTAATAGATTCTTATAAAATTTGATGAAATGTTTGTTGAAAAATTGTGAATTTCATTAACTGTGTTGTTAAAATTAATTAACGACTTTGACTTAAATTTCTATATAGATTTTAAGCCATTCCCGACTCAGCACCAAAAAAGCCCTAGCTTGCCCGGCTAGATACTCGATAGTATTGAACCCAATCGGCCCGAGCCCATATGGCTTGTCTGATAGGCAAAAAAGAGGGGGGGGGGGGGGGGGGGGGGTACT